TTCTGGCATTTCTGATTCTGGGGGAATAAGTAGAATGCACATATTTCAGGCTGCCAGAGCTTTTGTTAACTACACTAAGAACAGATGAGCCACACTTTTCTCACAACAAAAGTTTGTTTGTCTAGACCCTTTAAAGCCTTCCTCCCTTCTCTCTCCTTCCAGCAGAAAATATTTCCTGTATTTTCTTTGTCCTAGCACTTATCTTCATCACTCCTCAAAAACCTTAGAGAGCCACATCCTGCTATATAGCTTCTATGTTCTACTGTCCATGAAGTGGACATTCATGCTCTTGTTTGCAACTTCAGGTATGTAGTGGAACTCGGATTAAATGCCTTTGTGCAGTGTGGATTCTATCAAAAATTACACTGCAGAGTGTTCTTTTGCCACATGGAAAAACAAAGATAAGGACTTATGCCCAAATTGAATGAGAAAAAAACCCTTCAGTGCTGTGTTTTGAAAAGAGTAGTGTTTACTCTTTGAAAAAAAGAGTAATTTTTTTTGAGTCAGATGCACAGAGATAAATCTTCAGTGGTATGTTGTCTTCCTATACCAAACTTAATATGAAGGAATTTCCAATTTTCTTAAGATAAATGTCTTGACATTGACTTTTTTGTCTTATACCACTTCACTTTTTAAAAACACAAGATAACTACAGACCCAGGCTTGATCTAAGTTTTAAGTATCTTAGAAATGTGTACTAATCTGATTTTTAAGGTGATCTAATGATAACTATTCCTGGACAACACTGCACCTTGTAAGACCAAATCACATAGCAGCTGAAATGCCAGATGAACTTCAAGACAGACACATGTAAAGTGATAGACATGGGGAAAACAATCCTAGCTTCACATATAAAATGGTGGGCTTATCATAACTATGCAGGAGCTGAACCTTATTTTATGAAATATCTATGTAAAGCTTCAGTTTAATGATCTATAGAGGCCAAAAAAAGAAAATTGGATGTTAGGAATTATTTGAAAAGCAATATGAAGTAAAACAGGGGGATTGTTCTGATGCCCTTATTTCAGAAAAGATGTACTGGAACTATAAAAGGTTCAGAGAAAGGTAACAAGGATGACCACAGTGTGAAACAGCTTATTTACAAGGAACAACAGAATAAGGTAGGATTTTTCTGTCTGAAAAAAAAAAAAAAAAAAAAAAAAAAAGCAGTTTAGTAAGGATTATGGCAGATGTTGCAACATCACTGGTGGCATAATTTCAGCAGGACTTCTAACAAAAGACTCAAGGCCAGGAGGAGCCAAGTTCAATACAAGCAAAATTCTTGAGACAGCTGCTAAATTTTCTGTGAATCTCCTCACTATAGGATGTTGTCAATGCAAAAACTTGACATTAGTTCAAGTTGAGCCTGGATTAGTATTGTAAAGGTTATCTATTGAGGGTTACTAAACAGAGAAAGCGGAGGAGTTCCCTGACCTGAAAGCAATTGGTGACTAGCAAAGTATGTGGGGGCAGTCTTGTATGTGATTGCTATGTCCTTGCTAATCCCTGGGCATTGATGATTCAGGCTGTTTGAACAGATAAGGAGGTAGCTGTGGAATGTTGCGTTTGTTCTCATGTAAAGGCCAAGGGCCTGTTTTCAAAGATGCCACAGGCTTCCAGTCTTGATGATCCAGTGGAAATCCCTCAGTATGTCTTTAAGTCCGTCAGGTGTTATATTATTGCTAGTGTTTCTTCGGATGGAATTGCTGTGAATACAAATGAATAGCAGCATATCTTACCAATTTTCCTAGCTGAACGGGGAAGATTTGTAAAAGTGAACTTTTATTTTTCAGATGAAAATGGAAAGCATGCAATGATACCTGTGAGTAGTGATACATCTTTGTCTTCAGAAAACAAAGGAGGGAAAATTAAGAAATGTATCAGCTAGTCAATTCAGTGATCCTCTAGCTGATTCAAGCCAGTTATATTCCAATGCCTCATTTGCTCATATAGGAGTATAAAATCAGGACATATTTTACCTTTGCAAACTTTAGAAACAGAATATAACTAAGGATAAAATGTGATCCATAGAACTAGAAATTTGCTTATGTGATTTTGGATTGACAAAAAATTTGCACTTCAATTTGATTGATTAAAGTAATACCTAAATTCCTGAAACAATCTTCTTCCCAGCCCCCCCCCCCCAAATATATCTCTATAGAATGTCTAGTAATTTATGTATAGCGACCTGTTTGTAAAAAAAACTCTTGTATTTATTTCTTTACCCTTCCCACACATTCCATTTTTTTTTTTTTACATAGCAGCTGCCACAATCTGTAGATTACAAATGCAAGGATTTTCACAGAAAAGCAGTTCATAGAAATGTCCTTGATCTTGTCATAGTAATCATCATACCCTGAGCTTAGCGTTTTACTGGCTATACTATTACTTTTCATGAATAAAGAAGACAAATGCTGTGGAAATAGTCATGTTTTCAGCACATCGTTAATGAGTTTCAGGAGAAAATTATGTAATTGCAGTAACACAGAGCACTTAAGCTCTTAAAAACAGACTTTTATTGAATTAATGAAAAGGCAATAATGTTAAGGAAACAAAGCAATTAGTACCCCATCCCCTAAGTTCCATCTGATGGTATAAATGGTTTCTATTTCTGGATGGAGCAGGAAATCTTATTTTGCCCTCCAAATCCATGTGAATTCAATTTCCACAAATTTAATACTCCTATCTTAAAGAGATACACAGGGCTTCTTTAGGGTTAATGCTCAAATAAAACAGAACTTCAAAGCTTTCTGACTCATAACTAGTGGAAGAAACTCTTAAGAAATCAATAGTATAGATAGAAACATAAATAAAGGCAAGAGAATCTCCTTTTGCATGTGAGTTAGCAGCAAAGTTATTTTTTATGGCCAGTTTTGGCGTGATTTTATATCTGTGAAATATAGTTCATTAATCTCAACTTTCAGAGAAAACATAAAATACAGTGATCAGTTCAGTGCAGTATTTATATCTGGAAAACCAAACAAAAGCAATACAAATCTGAATATGAATTTTACTACTGTAAAACTAGTTATTTCTAACAGGAAATCAAGACTTAAGTGATGATGGATATGGTTTGCTTATCTTTAATATTTTAATGAGAAATATACATTCCCATCCATAAGCGCAAGTACAATGGGATACAAATTTTCTGTGAATTCCTCTAACTTCTACTATACAAAAACCACTTGGTCTGGGTAGCACAGCCATAATTCTGCCAAGTAGCTCTGTATCTGTTCAATTCCTTAATTTCAAGAAATATTTGTAGTGTCAATGGGCAGAATGCTATTGATTGGGTAAGCAACTAGAAAGACAAAAAGGGGAAAATGGAAAACATGTAGAATCTGTTCTGCTTATTTAGTAGAGTGATGGACTCAAGCATCTTCATCATTTTCCATTAATCAAACAACTGTTTTTATACAAAGGGCAAAATGTAAATATACTCACTGTCTGTAGAACAAGGCTGGAAAATGACTCCTAGAATGTAAATAAGGAACACAAATGGCATAGCTTTTGGCATGTAAGGGTAAATGACAAACGGAAACCTTGTGATTTTGGATAGTCAAAATTAGAGTATATACAGAATTAATGGTAGATACAGGCTCCAGAAGATTCCTAAGGACAGGTAGCACATAGGAGGCTTTTGTGTTGAAATGGAGGGAGCCCTTGGTGTGTGCAAGAAATCTGGCTTACAGAGATTATGGAATATGTGATCTCCTAATAAGTAACAGGATATTCTTGATAATGTTATATGACATTGAAAGAAAAATAATTGGCTTTGGGAAAGAGCTGCAGTGATTGAGCAAGCTAATTAATGAGTCCCGTCATCTGAGTACAGTTCTGCTCCCACATATACTTTCCATTTAAATGATCTCATACTACACTTGATTACCTTTGACCATACTCAATACAATAGCACACAAATTAACTCGGTGCTATTATGAAACATTTTGCTCATCTCTCAAACTGACAGAGTTTCATGGGAAGCAGATAGAATACTGACAGTGGTGGGATTTCCTTTGGAAAACACTGAAGCCCATCATCTGACATGTGGTAAAGAGCAACAGCTCTAAGAGATGACAGGAAGGAGGCAGAAGTGTCCACAGGGGAAAAAAAAAAAAAAAAAAATTATTCTGCAGTTTTACCAGCTGCTTCTAAGAAACCTTCCTTTTTTTGCTTTGTTCACATAACCTATTCTGGAAATGATTAGAGGGCAGAGTGTGTGAGTCAGTTACTGAGGAACGGTGGCTAGAACAATGGTTGGAAAATGTAAGTTTTTCATTGGAGAAGAGTCACCTTAGTACTCTGTGCGCTAAGAATTAGTGCTTTGTGACTAACTCACTATTGATTTTCTAAGATAGAATTCAAACAATTCATAAACTAGAGAACAGGATGTGAGTGTATGGTTTTGGGGATAAGAAGGGTAAAAACCTAGATTCAGGCAAAGGACTATTCATTGCTCCTCTTTAAAGGATAGGATTAGGAAGAATTGTAAATACTGGTGAAGCTAGATGGTGAATCATTTAGCAGCTGGCATAAAAAACAAATACAATTTATAGTGTAGTTTGTGGTATATTAGCAAATGCAGCATTTTTAAAACCCTGGAACTTGTCTAATTGCTGTTATGGAAGGGAGTGGAAATACTGCAGAATAGCATGAAACACATAAATAGTTTATTTATACTACCTGATTGTTACATTAAGAGAGGAAAATAAACATCAAGATGCAGTGCCTGAAAAATATTGAAAATGTTCACATCATAGCAGTATTTCTTCTTTTTTTTTTTTTTTTTTTTTAAATTCAACTTGCAGGTTATGGATACATTTCTAAAACATATTGAAAACAGTAAATGGGGGAAAGAGAATATAAGGAAGTTTATAGTACTGAAAAAAAAAAGTTATTCTAAAAAACCCTTTTATATCAATAAAACCTCAATTTTTAAAAGGCTGTATCAGCATTAAATTTAATTAATTGCACTTGGAATCACAGAATGAAAATTAAGTAGCTTTATAATAAAATCAATACATTTATTTCTAAATATTCTAACACAAAGATCCAGTTTTATTTTTAACAGTTACTAGGAAGCTTTGCTTTGAAAGTGCTTATGGGGCAGAAAACCTTTTCAAACACCTCTTTTTTCTTTTTTTTTTTTTTTTCTTTTGTAGAAATCTATCCATTTTTCCTTTCCTTAAACTTGGAGCTTTGACTATCACTTTTACCTGAATGAAACAATACGTAACTTCTGCTCAGCTTCTTGGATAAATGACAAAGTTATTACCATTGGTTGAAGTGGGTCTATGATTAAACGCTCAAAACAAACAAAAACATCTGTGTACATGAAGAAGCCTTGATTCAACAATCAGATCTCTTATCACTATCTCAAACTTGAGAATTCTAGCATTCTTCCAAAGTGCCTGTGTTTCTGTACTTCATCACATGGTTCACCCTTTTAGTCCTTTCACTTGACATGACTCATGTTTTCATTATACAATTTAACAGGCTAATTCCCCCGTTGTACTGAAATAGATTTTGATGCAGTTGAGGCATTGTACCAGTGAAGATCTACATGTCTTCTTTCTGCTTTTTTGTGCAATTGATTTCCATTAGCGTTTAAATGCTCATTGTTGTCCATTAGTATGGAAGTGATCAGCCTGAGCACATCACTTCTTCACATCTCTCCCTTGTGTGAGAGTACTCCTCCCAGGTTATAAATTCTGAAGAAAAATTGAGAACAGCAAACTGCTGAGAAGTCAGTGCAGCCAGCAACTTCAGGATTATGGAGAGAAAGTTGTATGCAGGTCAGATGACATAAACATCCAAAGCCTGGTTTTGCTTTTTTTTTTTTGAAGTAATGACAATCTGTCAACTGATTAATGTATGATGTATGAGGATGATGTATTACAAGGATTCTCAAACTGGGCATGGTTTTTGCCACCAACACTAGCAATGACAGCACTACACCAGCAATCACCACAGTTCCTGCTTTTTTTGCTGGGCTCCACTCATGCACAGCAGAAGGCAACCCATGCTTTTCTTCATGGGGTGTTAACAAGTCTAGATTCATTGGTGTGCTCTCTTATGTTCAGAAGAGGACTATAAAAGGTTCCTTGCAGTCCTGAGCTTTTAGAACCAAGTATACCTCAGCCCTAATCTGCCAGTGCACACTGCTGAGTCCAGCCAGGTAAGGCTTTCTCCTTCACAAACAGCATGAAACATGCCAAATTTCATGAACTCTAAAACAAATGGAAAGTACCCAGTGTTGTTTGTTTTCTGTTTGCAGGCACCCAGTTACAACAGCCAGAAACAGATTCCCTACATTGCCTCTCCACATAGGGCTAAAAGCTGGCAAAGTGCTGCCTCATAACTCTCTAGTTTACTATGTCACAGCAAGTTTTGTATCACATGCTGGGAACACTTAGTCTAGAACAAAAAACCTAAGCTAAAGGTTAGAGAAATGGAATTTGGATGATCCATAAGAAAGAATTAATGTACTGCAGCAGCTTATATTACTGCCTGTTTAGCTCTATTTTTAGGTGCTGAGATCTTCTTAGGTACATGGATTAAGTTACAGGATCCTGAATGGCAGAAATTTGAAAGGACTGTGATTGAGATACTACAGGGAAAGCAATCATTCTAAATGAGCTTGACAGTGGAAAGACCAGTTTTTAGAACTGAATACGAGTTTAAAACAGTGGATGGAAGGAGGAATCATATGATTATTTCTTCCACATGTGTGAAAGGAACAAAGATTTTAACAAACTGGAAGAGCTGTTAAGTTGTTAAGGGAAATCTGAACTGTATACTTAAAAGTATGCCTGTAGGGATTTTAGTGCAAGTTCTTAATTCACTAGTATCTAGTAATTAAATATTTTCACATGGCATGGAGGACTAAGTTCATCAGAAAAATACTGCATAAATGAAATTGTGTAGCCTTCTGGAAACATCTGTTGAAATCTCAGTGCAAAATGATTAATAGTAAAGTTGAAATTTTATAGGGAGTGAAATATCTTGTCAACTTCATGATAAAGTACTTCTTAAAAATTAAAAGCTCTGGAAAGTTGAGAGTCATGGTATCTTGCAAGCTCTGCTATTTTGCTGTGTGTGCAGGAATTGTGAAAAGATTCCATGAAGGCACTAATGCTCAGTCTAGGATTAAACACCGGAATTATTCAGTATATGCTCACTCCTCTTTGATGAAACCATCTTTTATAGAGGGGAAACTTTTAATGCAAAACAGCACAAACCTCTCTGCATTGTTCCAGGACTGCATCCAGTATCATGCTAGACAAGATGAGGTGAATTGCTGTGAAGCTGAGAATTGTATACCCTCTTCAGCTGGAAGAAAGTTACATGTTCTGGAGGTGAATTTGTGCTCCACAGGGTAAACAAGGAGTTACACATTTCTGCAAATGAATGACAATGACATTACCTTATATACTAGCACACCACAAAATACTTAGCATGAATACAAGACAATTATCAATGGGCCTAGGTTGCAATATCACAGTTAAACATCAGCAAAATCCTTCTTAATCAGAGTAACAGCACAGATTGCTCATGGATCTTTTTTGGCAAAAGTAATTAAATGTCTACTGAGACTAGGAAATGTTCAGCTGGTGAAAGAAGATTGAGTGAATGACTTCTTAAAGTCTCTTGCAGCTGTATTGTTTTTAATTCTTTCTTCTGCAAGGATTTCTAGAAGGCTCTTGGTAGATGGAAACTTTCCCTAGAAAATTTGGGCAAGCAATACTCAAGATATGTCAGAAGCTCTGACACATAACCCATGCATCCTCTCTCCTCCATATTTATAATGACTGTAAAACAAGCTGTGAATAAACTTTTAAAGCTATTTTTAAGTATTCAAATGAAGAAAAAAAAAAAATCCTTTTACTTAAAACTTTAGACCCTCATTGGCCTAAATGCTACTCTCCCGATCAGAGAAGTGGGCCACAAGGTATTTTCTTTTGCACAACTGTTGGCACAAAGTCTATTATATAGGACTTACAGTCTATTTTTTAACATTTACATGGTAGCCCTCCCTGCCATCAAGCGAGACTGGGATTCTGATTTCCCCATTTCCTGGATGGATACACAGGGAGCACACAAGGCCCGAGTGCAGCCAGCAGTGTGCAACCTCACCCACCTGTAGCTGCTGTGCCAAACAAGCAGTGTTATCCCTGTCAAATGCGGGGACTGCGAAGCGGACAATGGCGTTTTTGAGAAACTTATCAAATGCGAGCTGTTCGACACCGCAGGATATTGGCACTCTGGGGCCTGGTGCCCGGTAGAGAATGAAGGGGTTAGGGCTAACCCTTTCCTGTCGCGCCTCGGCTGTGGTCCGAAACGGCCTCAGCCGCGCCCGGGCACAGGGCAATCTCTAGCAGCCAGCCCTTCCCGTTTTCAGCCGCTACCTTTGCCCCTGCGAAGGAGAGCGGCGTGGCGCACCAGCTCACCGAGGCTTGGGAAGGCGAGCAGCTGAGGCGGTACCGCCTCCCGGCTTCGAACCAGATCTCTAAGTCCTAAGGGGAAGCAGCGGGGCGAGCGCACCCAGGGACCGGCAGCCAGACGCCTCCCAGGGCCCCAAGCGCCGTTCTCCAGCCGGTCCCCTCCGGCCGCCGCCGCCCGCCGCTGTGTGACCGTTACCTGCCCCCTCAGCGCTGAGGAGGGGTCGGGCGGCACCGGAACCCGCCACCACCCGGCCGCGCCCAGCCCCTCTCCCATTGGCTGATTCCTCTGCCCACCAGCAATCCCCGCCCCCTCCCGAGGCCTGGCGTGCGCTTCTCGTCTCCCGAGTGGCCGGCGGGTGCTGTCAGTCTCTCACGCGGAGGGTAGGCAGGCGGCTCCCCTGCCCTCGAGGCCCCGCCCACGCGTGAGCCCGCCCCCCCTCCCCTCGTCAGGGCGGGCGCTCCCTGCCGCCGACGCTTCCTCTGTGACTCGGAACAGTTCTCCGGCTGCGCCCTTCCCGGCGAGCCGCCGCCTGGGAGCTCCCGCGGCAGGGCAGGAGCGGGAGGAGCGGTGTCCGGAGGTGGAGGGCCCGCCGCCCGACCCTGACGGCCGCACACCGAGCGCCGAGTCCGCAGAGCCTCGCCGCGGGGCGCAGCGGCTGCCCGCCGCCCCCACCGCCCCCGCAGCGATCTGCGCCGCTCCGGGGACGCGGTAGGTAGGTGTCCCCGGCCGCTTTTCGGGGGGGCGTCTACCGTGGCGGCCGCGGCGCTCCCTTTGCCCGGTTCCTTCGTTAGCCCCGGGGCGGCGGTTGGAGGGGCTCGCGCCGGCGGGCGGGGGGGGGCTGAGGGGAGACACGAGACACCGAGCCCCCGGGAGCCGCGGAGGATCCACGCTGCCCGGTTTCCTCCATGGGGGGGGGGGGGGCGTGGGGGGTGGTGGTGCCGCGCGCCCCTCGGCGGCGCGGAGCGAGGGGACGCGATCCGCCGCTGTCGGTGGAAGGGCCCCTCGTCTTCCCGGCGTTATTTTCCCCGGTGGCAAAAGCTGCCGCTGCGAGACCTCCGGCTGCCCTCTCCTGAAGGAGCGTTGCTCGGCGGCTTGCTTGGCTTCCTGAGTAATCGCCCATCTCGGTGCTGCTGGCGGGGGGTTAGTCTGACAGAGTACCGAGCTGTTCTTGCAGGAACAAGTGAGTAAGTTTGTTTTCCTCTTCTGTAGAAGCAGGTTGCTGGGGTGCATGCGTGCTGTCTTGGTTAGCAGATTAGAGGCACACTGAGCTGCCAGTGCCTTTTTTTTTTTTTTAAGTTATTTACAGTCGGTGTATCGTGGTTTTAAATTTGATTCAGTAAAATCTCTGAGAATAATGTTTCAGGTGATTGCTTTGAAACTTCTACAGAGCTTATTTTTAGGCCTCCCTGTTGACTTTGCTGGCAGACCCTTAGTGGGTATTAAAGTGATGTGCTATGTGTAATAGGAGTTGGTATAAAATTGAAGATTTTTTTCTTAATGCGTTTTGTATGTAAGGTCTTTTGTAAGTATATATTTAATTACAAATATATATTGTGCAAAATTATCCTTTATTTTGCACATTCTTAAGCGTGATGGTAAGTGAAGAACACTGTTAAGTGTATTCAGTGTTGCTGCCTGCGTTAGGACTACTTACAGGGCTAAACAACTTACCTGCACTATAGACTCACACCTTTTCTGAACGCTAATACATGTCTAGTGGATGCATTTTATCCTGAGCTGTTTTGGGATGTTAAAATCCAAGATGGGTGTAATGCAATTTTCTTTCTAGAGGGGAAAGATGAGATAGAGGTTTCTTTGTTAACTATCTTTTATGAGATGTCTTCTACTGACCTCAACATTTTGTCAGTTCATTTTGAATAGAGAAGTTTCAACAAGTGAAGTAGTATTTTCAGTGGAAATAAGTGTTACTTTATTGTGCTAGCCTGAAATAGAGAAACTACCTGACAAGCAGCAGACTAGTTCATCAGCTGAGAATGACTTTGAGCTAGTGAAATGAATCTTTTTGTCTTGCTACTCTGCTTTTGTATCCAGTAGATGTATTTGTGTTTAAAGTGTGAATGAATTTCAGAATGTGGAATACCTGCTCTTGATGCAGTAATAACATCTTGTTTTCTGCATGTTTTTTTCCTGTGTGATCATGATAAAGATATTCAGGCTTAGTTAGAAGATTCAATCTGTACTTACATACAGTTAACAAGACTGAATTTACTTCCTGTGGTAATTTTTCACTTAATAATCTCATAACTAGATTAAATACATTTATAGAGCTGATGCAATGTATCAAAACTTAGTGTCCCACCTTCATCTGCAAAGTGTGTCCTATGAAAATAGGATTGCTTATGCTTCAGTAGTGACTATGCTAAATTATTCTGTGATTAGAAGTATCAAAGTTTGTAACATGTATTTATAACGTATTTACTGTTAAAACTGTGTTTAAGTATTAGGAATTCCTCTAGTGTTTAAGATGAATTTAGTTCAGATATGGCTTTGTGACAATAGATTAAATGTGAGGAATAGGGAAGTGACAGTGATTACTTTCCTCCAGTATCTTGGTAATTACAAAAAACAGCTTCCTAAAGAACAGGGTACTGGTCAGCTGTGTTAGCTATCTGTAGCTAACTTTTCTTAATAAATCATACCAGATAAACATATAGCTACTTCTTGTTTCTTAAAGGTTTTTCTTTTTTATTTATAACAGATGGTTTTGGGATGACATACAGGCAAGTAGTAACGCAGCCTAAGGCACACATAAACCACAGGAGTAACGAAGTTGTACAGGAGCTTGGGGTGCTGCTTCACAATTTATTCTCACTGATTCAATTGGAAACTAATTGCATGAATTTTCAGTCAAGCCTATGTACCCCACCCACAGTTGTATGAACAAAAGCGCTGACACAGTGCTTAACAGCAGAGTGGAACAGTGCTTTTCAGCAGCTGGCTGTGGTTAGGTGATCTTAAACTGATCATGATACCTGGGGGTTATTTAGCAATGAAAATGGGATGATATATTACCAGAGAGCAACTGATGCAACCTGGAAGAGTAGGCAGAAGCACAAGAACTGTAACATGTTTGCTTTGCTTCTGGGCCTTTAACATTGTTTCAGAAAGTGCTTTGAGAGTTCTATGTGATTGTTTTCCCTGATCTATTAAAAGATTAAAAAAGTAACTTTTACCTAATTGTTGTATACTTTCTGGCAATCCTTAATTTGGATTTTTTTTTTTTTTTTTGCTATGTGGGAATTTTAATGGTTCCTCAATGCTGCTGCAGAACCTGTGTGGTGAAATCAAGCCTGCTGCTGCTGAGCTTGTTTTTCTGATTGTGGTTCTAAGTACTCTTCTAGACATTGTCACTAGGGCTCTAGGGGTTTGTGGGCCACAGCTGAAACAGTTTGGTGAAGAAAAATGCATGTGTTTAAGCTAAATGGTTGCATAAGTGAAAGCAGACTAGTAAGAAAGTAGTTAAAAGCTAGGCTCATGATCACAGATAAGGACAGTGACTGGAACATCTGTCCCTCCCTGTGACCTTAGGTAAGCCACTTATAATTTAATGTCTCTTCTTCAGCATAGGGAGAAGGTAGAAGAGGAGACATTACACACCAATCTGTTGTAGAATTGGTTTGGGTTTTGGTTACTTGGAGACCCTTCTGAAAGCAGTACTTTCAGAGGAAGTTCTGAAACTTCGTAAGTAGTGAGTGCACACCTATTTTCAAAAAATATATGAATTTATTTTGAACAGATGTAGCTCACCTGTTACATTTAATTCTAGTGTTCAACAGATAATAGGTTCATTACCTTAAATGGAGTAGGAGGATTCTTTCTAAGAAAAGCTGTAGAGAATATTTGTAAATATTAAATATTTCAGAATATTACAAGTGTGTTTACTAGTGAATTCTCCTAGCACATTTACTGAACTGCATTATATTTCATCTGTTGCATAGAGCATTTTGGTTTGAACATATTTCACTGTAGTTACCTCTCATTTACTCTTCTCTCATTTATTCCTTTATCTGGTGTTTTTGAGTATATCTACATGTAAAAGCTTGGCATAAACTTTAGGAAAGCTTTTTAATAAATGATAGACGATATCTACTTTTGGCTGTTCAAAGAGGGGTATTTAATAGAAAATAAGTGTACTCTGCAGCTATAGAAAGATTAATTTTTTTTTTTGCTATTTGTGTGTATAGTATCCTATTGCTGCCTGGTGCAGTGGAGCTAGGAGTGGGAGGGGACATACTGATCTGTCAGAACTATCTTCTGCAAAAATGTTTACTCAGATTACTGTAGGTCACAGAAGTCCATGACAGACACACAGGTAGGATTTGCATACTTTAGGTAGATATATTACTTAATCTGACTTTGTGTAGAACATCACTAATGTAATTACAACAGTGTTTTCCTCTACTTTATGATCTTCTCTAAGCTTACTAGCCTGTTTAGCTTCTAACATACCGAGACTTTTAAAATAACTTTCGCTTAACTAAAATCTGTTAGTAATTTAATGCCATTTTCCTAGAAGGGATTATTTTTCTTTTTTTTGAGATTACATGGCTGTAATAGCCTGTGTGGGAATTTATACTCTTCATCAGTCACATATTTAAGTTATGTTATTTTCGATTCGGACAGGATGTAGACTATAAGAATGGAGGATAACGTCCTCTTCAGTAGTAAAAAAAATACTGTTGTTTTATGACAAGCAGGGCACAGATTCCAGTTTAGATTCTGTGGTTTGTCATACTTCCTTGTCATCTCTGTTTATTCATTGAATAATTTGAGGTGCCATGTTCTCTATTCAATAAACCGTGTACGGTAACAGGAAGTAGATGCAACAAACAGAAGCATAGTTAGTAGTGATGGTGGTTAGTATATGGAGGTCACTGAGAACAAGAGTCTTAAGAGATGTACTAAACCTACTGTGAAACAGCAGTCATTTAAAATTTGTCGCAGGCTGTTGGGAAGGTTGTCCTTTATACTACCAGGTATTTATTCCTGTCTCATTCCTGGCTGTGCAGTTTTGTACCTCCACTCTTGCTCTGTGTTTGTATCCTCTGCGCTGATTTGGCTTCTGTGTAGTAGCAAGTTACTGTTGAGTGTGTGTTTCTACAGGATTAGTGAGTCTAATGGCTTTATAGGGGTGTTTGAGTGCTGAGGCTGGTCTAAGGTAAGCAACAGGAGCAGCAGATACCTGTGGCCAGATGCAACAGAAGAGAGCTGCCATGCTGACCCATGTCTAATTGCATTTTCAAAACAAAATTTCAAGTTTAGATTGTATTGCAGCCTTAAAACTGTACTTTTTGGTTCCGTTTGTTTGTTGGGGGTTCTGATTACATAGTAAATGTTCATCTGTTGCTCTTGGAGGGCTGCATGAGTTGTATTTTTGTAGAATACTGTTGTGCTTCAGAAGTACTAGCTTTTTGGCAGGTTACCTTTGTGATGCTGGAACTTGTGATTTGAGCCAGTGTAGGGCACACCTTTGCAGTCTAGAAGAAACTACTATTTAAAAAAATGTTATGTATAGAAAAATCTCGAGTACCTTTCTGTTTTTAAGGCACAAAACTTTATCCATTTTAGGTCTTTGTAGTTGGATTTAATATATAAAGACATGAAAGACTTCTCATGTTTCAACAGTTTTTAATGTAATGATACAAAGCAATCTTACAAAGACATTCACTTTTGCTTTAGAGGAATTCCACT